TTTTTGCTTATATCATTTTAGATCGTAAAGATGAGAAAAAAAATACTCAATAATAAAAAACAGAACTTTTAATCTGCACCAAAATAGTCAAAAATAACAGAAAAATATTGAAACCAGATCTGTCCGGCTCAGCTCAAAAAACAGGTCGGCTCGGTTTGACTCGAAAACGGCTCGGTTAAAAACGGCTTGGCTCGGACTGAAACTCGGCTCGACTTGGTGCAAGTGGCTCGACTCAACAGCTCGGCTCGAGTTTTGGCTTCCTCCGCTCGAAGTCGGCTCAAGTAGATCTGCCCAAAGTGTAGATCGCGGCCAGAAAAGCTTCCTGTCTACATGGTTCTGCGGCGGAAAAAGAAGGCCGGGAACAGACCCGATCTGCGAAGTGAAATAGATCACGGCAGGGAAAACTCTAATTTGTGCATGATACGGCGTGGCCAGAGGCTTCTTGCATGATCGGAGTGAGGCAGATCGAGGTGGTTGTGTAGCTCTTCGCGCGGTTCAGTGCGCGGCAAAAGAGAAACTGGATCGCGCAGCTCTGCACGCAGCGGAAAAAGAAGCTGGGTCGTGCGGCTCTACGTGCGGTGGAGGAAGGACCTGGCTGCTCTTTGCGTAGCTATCCGCACGGTGGAGGAAGGAACCGACTGCTTTCTCCCTTCCTCTGATCTGTCCTCCCTTCCCCCTTATTTGGTTCTCTTTCTACACAACCTATTTTTTTTATTTTAGAATTTGAAAAAACCTTAAATAATTAAAATCTCAAAATAGATTTATTTAACTCTCATATCATATCATGAAAATTTAAGAACAAATAATAATTTTATTTTTTATCTTTAAATTATTATATTTAAAATATTTATAGAAATTTTATTTTATTAATAAAAAAATTCTTATTCTATTAAATTTATAATTATATAAAATTATTATTCTCATAAAATTCTACTCAACAGTTAGAAATAAAGGCAAGAGTGATATGTGATCTCCCCTACCACTTCCCAAAATACTAGAGACGATTCCTCCAATATCACCTAGAAACTCCAAGTTGATGTCCCTAGGTTTTATGGAAATATTAGATTAGAAGACTTTCATAGTTTGGTTAATAGCATGGATGCTATTTTAATTGGTATAAGATGGAATGCTATAGTGTGACTTCATATGCTAGAATGAAACTCCTTGGATCTGCTAAGAAATATTGGCAAAGTATCTTGCAAAAGTTTTCCATAACTAGTTGGTATTAGTGAAACAAAAGTTGAAATAAAGTGTCTTCCAACTTATCGCAGCAATCAAATGATTGAGTGTTTGTTAAATCTAAGGCAAACCTCCTTATTGAGGAACTCATGCTTAGATGTGAGATTAAGGAAGAAAATTTGATTATTGTGAATAGATTTGTTGATTACCAAAGACCTAATATTAAGAGAGAAGCTGTGTATATTCTTTTGGCTGTTTCAAATAAGCTTATCACAAAGCCTTGGAGACAGAGTGCTACTTTAGGTCTCCATCTCTTCGGCTTGCTATTTCTCAAATAGAAGATTTACGAAAATTTAAAATGATTACTTAGTCAATTTTGATTTATGAGTCTTTATTCGAATAAAGACTGATATAGATCTCTAGAAATTATTGTTGGAAATCTGCAGATCTCTAGAAAATTAGCACAAGTTGTTGGAAATTTGTAAAAGCCTGTTCTGCAACATGTATAATCAGTAAATCTGATTTAATGTTTATGTTGATTACCTTAAGTTTATTTTGTATTTAAGGAGCTGAATGAATGCTGAAAATATAAATAAAAAAAATCTAGCAACTTCTCCTTCTTTCTTCCTTGTACCTTGTTCTCCATTTTTTCTTAATTTTCTCAACTTCTCACTCAATTTTTTTATAAATCTCAATAGTGATATCAGAGTAGTTTCTTTAAGGGACCGTGTGCCTCATTCCAACAAAAAAAAAAGCTTCAAATAAGAACTTACCAGCTCCACCAATATTTACAGAGGAAACTTATGATTATTGGGCAGTGAGAATGGAAGCTTATCTTTTTGCCTATAATCTATGGAACATTGTGGAGGAGGAGTATGTAAAAGTTCCATTGCTAAAGGATCCCACCTTACCACAAATTAGGCAAGACACAGAATGGTCCATTAGGAATTTTAAAACTGTTTCAGTTCTTCATTCTGCAGTGTTTGAAGACATATTCCCATGACTGCTGGTCTTCAAAACAGCCAAGAAAGTTGGGAATTATTTGAGGAAGAATATTTAGGGAGTACTAAAGTGAGAGGTGTGAAATTACTGACTCTAAAAAAAGAGTTTGAGCGGTTAAGAATGCAAGAGGGAGAAAGTATTAAAGAGTATTTTACAAGAGTTATTAATCTTGTTAATTAAATAAACCTGCTTGGAGAAGAATTCAAAGATCAAAGAGGTTGAAAAAATGGTGATCAGCCTCCTTGAGAAGTTTGAATCAAAATTGTCTGTAATCGAATAAACATGTAATCTTGAGAAGCTTACCGGTGCTAAACTTATCAGTAAGCTATAGGCTCAAGGGCAGAAGGTTTTAATCAGAAACGATGGGATCACTGATAGTGGTTTTCAAGTAAGGCAGAGGGATAAGTTTAGGACCTCAACTTCAAAAGATGAAGATCAGTCCTCAACAAATAAAGAGAAACAGCTACAGAGCTCAAAAGATTCATAGAGAAAAAAAAAAGAAGGAAAGTATCCTCCTTGTAAAACTTGTGGTAAATTCAACCATCCCAAAAGCTTAAATGTTGGAAGCATGTAAAATGTAAGATTTATAAAAAGTATGGTCATTCAGAGAAGGTGTGCTAGAAGAAAAAAAAAATCAAACATCACAGCAAAAGAATGAGACTCAACAAAGACAACTACTTCAGCAACAGCAAATCCATTTTGTTGAGAAATATGTACAGCAGGAAAACCATCTTTTCATGATGACTGAGGCCTTTTGTGTGAGTTGAAATGACTTGTGGTATGTGGACAGTAGATAGGGTACGAGGGATAGGGTGAGAATGTGTAGGCATTGACTGTAGTAATAACAATAGCAGTGACAATATAGTTGCAGATCAGGTTGACTAGGAGATGAGAGGAAAATGCATTTAAAACTTCAAGATGAATTCTACAATGGTTTGTCATACCATTTGGACTGTTGAATACTATAAGTACTATCATGCAAGTTATTACATATTCTAAAACCATTGGAAAATTTTTGGCAATATAATTTGATTACCTTTAATAAGCAACTAGTATAAAAAGGAGCATTTAGGTTATCTTCATGAGGTTCTCATGATTCTTAGGAAGCAACAGTATATGCCAATCTTAGTGAACGTAAATTCCAGCCAAGCTCAAGTGCTTTTCTTAGGATTTATTTTATCAGCATAAGATGCTTTTGTTGACCAAAAAAAAAATGTTTGAGCTATTAGAGAATGGCCCCAATCAAAACCATTTTTTGAGGTTCATGGGTTACCTACATTCTATAGAATGTTAAGGATTTAGTTCAACTGTGCTCCCATCACTGATTTCCTAAAGAAGCACTTGAATGGACTCTTGTAACTTCAAAAGTCTTCTCAAGATATAGAGCAAAACTAGAGAGAGGTTCCCATCTTACTATTCTTACTTTCTGATGCTTCTAGAGTAACTATCGGAGGATCTTAAGCCAAGAAGGATATCCAATTGCATTTTTTAGTGAGAAACTTAATGAGACTAGACAGAAATATACCATTTATGATAATGAGTTTTATGTCGTGGGACAATTCTTTGGCGTTGGAAACACTATCTATTACCTCAAGAAATTTGGTTTATACTTTGATCATTAAGGTTTGAGGTATTTAAACACTTGAAAGAAATTCAACTAGGGACATGTTGGAGTGAGTGAATTTCTTGGTGAATATTCCTTTATTCTGATATCTCAATGTAGTGTAGGAAATAAAACTGTTGATGCTCTTAACAGGAGGTTGCTCTTCTGCAGATCACGAGTATAAAGGTCTACTGGTTTGGAAGAATACTCATATCGTTCCTCTCCTTATTTTCTATCATTTATCAAGAAATTCAAAGTGGACAAGTAGAGATCTTATAAATGTTGTCATCCATGATAGATATTTGCTTAAATCTACTAATTAATGCATTCCTCACAGTTCGCTTAGGGATTTTCTTATTTGGGAAATGCACACCAGAGGATTTGTCAGTCATTTTGGATCTGATAAGATTATCGCTCCTGTTGGGATAGATTTTACTGGTAGTCTATGTTACAAGGTCTCTGGAACATTTTCAATATTGTATATTTTAGTTAGCCAAGGCTAAGAAGAAAGCAGATTTTGTCCTTGGGTTACTGAAAACTGTCAGAGGACATGATATCATTCTTGTGGTATTAGCTAGAATTCTAAAATGGCTTATATGATGCATCTCATGTAGCAAAATATTGTTTTAAAGAAGTTGCTAAACTGCATAGAGAACCAATTAATATATTATCTAATAGGGATGTAAAGCTTGTGAGCCATTTTGGAAGACATTTTGGGCCTCATATGACTCTGGTTTGAAGTTCTCTTCTACATTTTGGTCTTCTAGAGTTAGGTATCCTAAAAGCCCTGTTTTCTTGATAAATTTGTGACTAATTTTTTGATGAATTAGCCTACATTTTTATGGAGACCAAAGCACTGGCTTGATAAATTAAAGGATCTTTAGCTGATCCTGCAACTGTAATCTACTTTAAAACAATCCACATTCTGTTTTATTCCGAACTCCTAATTTAAGGCAGAGTTTTTTCTTTTATTTATCTTTGACACAATTTAACTTCCTATTTTATTTTATTCCAAAATAACTTTTAGTTTTTAGCCGAAACCCTGTTTTCTTGATAAATTTTTGACTGATTTTGTTGGTGAATTAGCTTACATATATATAGGGGAGAACAAAGGACTAGCTTGATAAATTAAAGGATCTTTGGCTGATCCTGCAACTGTCATCTACTTAAAACAATTCACATTCTGTTTTATTCTAAACTCCTAATTTAGGGCAGGGTTTTCTCTTTTATTTATCTTTTACACAGTTTAACTTCCTACTTTTATTTTATTCCGAAATAACTTTTAAGTTCTAACCTAATTGACATATTTTTTCTTAATTAGGCCTAAACTTGAACCAAAGGAAACTTCATGCTTAAGGCGGAAAGCCTCTTTCTTCTTTTTCTTGTGGGTTCCAAGGATGATATAAAACAAGAAGATCTTAATTTGGAATAAATTTTCTATTAAAGAAAACTTTTATAAGTAATATTTTTTAGTATCTTCGATATATTTAGTTTTTGGTAGACTTTAAGTTACTAGAAACTTGGATTATTTTGGTAAATTTTAGGCTGTAAAATTTTTTTATTTTATTTATAGTTATTTTGATGTTTTTTATTAGTTATATAAGTAATGCCTATGTAAAGGTTAGCTACTATCAATAAAGAAACAAACAATGATGAATTAAAAATTCTTTGCTAGGCTTTTATTCTTTATTATCTCTTACTGTCTTTGCTCTTCCTGATTATCATTCGGTCTAATTGATTCTATGTAATGTACTTCTGCCTATATTTCTTCACCTTTCTCTCTAATCTCCACTGTTCTACCTTTACTCATTTGTTTCTCACCCAAACGTCTTCTAGTCCTAAACTACAAGTTAGTTCTCCTACTACTTGTCCTGCATCAGCAGTATTCTTTTGGTTCATTTCTTTGTTACCCATTTTGGGCCATAAGGCACATGGAATATAGTTTCTATTAACTTCTTAATTTTTTGAACTGGAGACAAGCATCACAAGTTGCCATTCTTCTCCTCAGTAAATGTGGCCAAAGGACCCTGGGGACAGTGGTTTCAGTGATTTTCTTTCTAGAGCCTGTCCCCAGTATCCTTTTTTTTTTAGTTTTCAATAAAGAACACTTAGGACAGGCTCTAGAAAGAAAACCACTGAAGCCCTTAAGCCTTTCAAAAAAATCTTGCCCGGATCAATATCCTTTCTTAGCCCAGATAAGGAGGAGAATTTTATCTGACTGTAGGAGGTGTGAAGTGTCAGAACTGGTTTTAGGAGAAAGAAATGACTAATTTTATATAGATGTAAGAATTCTATGATGGGGGTTCCCTTGCAATGTGATTATTGTTTGTCTCATCATGATGTTTTGTTTTTTGGATTTGCTGTTGCCATTGATGAGTCATATTGTGCTTGAAGATTGCAGAATGCCAGCGGGAGATCCTAGAAGCAAGAACCATGGTTGAAGACGCTGAACGTACTCTTTCGCTTAATAAAACTGGAGAAGGCGATAATTTTTTGTATAACAGTATAAGTGAAGGTATTGACAGAGACAATGAGAGATTGGAATCCCTAAAATCAGCATCCATATCTGCAGTTGTTGGCACCCTTGCAGGGCTTCCTATCTCATTTACTCAGGTGTCCAGTACTTTTCAGTTGATTCTTCCTCTGGGAATTACATTTATTAGCTGTGCATTATTTGGTGTCACCTTTCGATACACAATAAGA